TGTCTCCCACAGTACTTCTTAACTGCACATTTTGTTGATCATGCAATACTACTTCTTCTTTCTTCATTTCCTTCTCTTGTTTCTTTGTCTTTTATCTTTCCATATTTTATGATAATCATATTTACTCACTGAAATATAGCTTCGATATTTCCTCATCTGCTGATTTTTTAGGGGAATTGTATTATAGATGTATTTTACTGACCTTTTCTTCTGGATATCCCCTCATGTCAATGTCTCTTCTATGTCTTCCATGTCAGCCAGGCTAATATTCCTGGAGACTTTCTTAGCCACTAAAAGGGAATGAGAATTATCTTGGCTCCTCAATTGGGAATATTACAGGTAGCTTTTTGAATAAAATATATGTACTTAAGTTGTGGGTATATACAGCAAGTATATTTGTCTATGGAAACTTAATAATGAGGACACCAGCACCAAGCACTATGTCACACATGAGGTAGATTTCTGGTTACTGAATCTGTAACTGACTTATGGAATAAAGAGACCCTGAATCTAACTTATTTGTATTTGTAAATAAACAAAAGATGGTAAGTGTATCTGTCTAGCACCATCCTTTCAGAGAGATATTTTAAATGCTATTGGATAAGTAGGAAAGTAAAGATGATTTCGATTAATTAAATAATACAATGCAAACATTTTCTAAGGCTTCAAATAAACACTTAAAAAATAACTGTATTGGACAGGCACAGGGATCATGGCAGCTTCAACTGTGATTTCAGTGTACACAGCACTTTAACAAATGTTGTTGATCTGAAATGAACTCCAAAGGGCATATTTCTAGGACCTGTTGTGTTTTGTGGCATGGCTGGGTAGCTGAGGAGAAAAGATGGGGCATCTTCCTCTTTGTTGATGACCATAATATATTAATTAAACAAATAATTATTAAGTACTTAGTATGTGCCAGGCATTGTTGTAGTCCATGCTGGAAGTACAATAGCAAAAAGACAGACAGGGTCTCTGTCCTCATGACACTCATGGACTGTTAGAGAATAGAGACGAATAAACAGAAAATTGCTCTGTGTGTTAATCAGAGCTATAATGGCAGAAAGCAAAGTGTGCTGAGAGGACAGATTGGTCCTGCAGGTAGTAGAAATCATCCATGTGTAGTCTAGACTACAGAAACAAGCCTGGGGACTCTGGCCTTCACTCTCTTACTGGGGATTTTGGACCTGGAAATGTTAACCTTCATCTGTAATTCTCCTGGAAACTACCATTGCTGCAGTTATCTCAGGCTGTCACTTAGAGAATTCTGTATTCTTTTTCATTTACCAAGCCCTAAGGTGATTTTGTCTTTTTGGTATATGTGTGTACACATAACACGTACATTTTGCTATACCATTTAAAAGTAAGTTGTAGAGATCGTTAGACTTTGATATCCATCTTCTAAGAGTAATCTTTCTACATAAATCATAACTTCATCATTTCTAAAATAATTATCAATAACTTGATGAAGTTATCTAGTATCCAGTCCATTATAAAAATTTCCCCAGTCATTCTAAGAATGTTTTCATGGCTATTTTTTCCTCTGGAATGAAGATCCAATTAAAGTTTATGCGCTAAAATTAGTTATTATACCTTTCTAATCCCTCCCCTGCTAGAAGTAATCATTATTATTAGTATTTGTACCTCTCTGGTCTATATTTTTATACTTTTGCTACATATATAGCTAAAATATTATATATTATTGTTTTACACTTAAATTTTTGTTTAAGTGGTATTGTATTCTATGTGTCATCCAACAATTTTTAAAGAAGTCAACATTATGTTTTCAAGATCTATGCATGTTAATACATGTAGATCGAATTCATGCATTTTAAACTGCTGTATATGTGTAAAAATGCCATGCTTTATTTATCTGTTTCTCTACTGAAAGGCATTTAGGTTGTTTCCATTTTTCTATTAGCTAAAGTATTTTGCCTTTTCTTTTAGCATTGCCAGAAGACATAACAGAGGGTCTGTTGCTAAACTAGAAAGATGTTTTCACAGATCAGTTAACTTCTATTTTTGCTTATGTTCTTCTGAGACTTATTCTGCCATGAACTTGGCTCCATTTTTATGACATGTTTCCTTGGCAGCCTCAATGTCAGATGGCAGGACAGTCTTCTTTGCTTCCCAGGAACCTCCTCAACCACCTTTCTGCTAATATTGTAGACCAGAAGTTCTCAAGTCAGAACTATCTAGAAAGATTTAAAGATGAACAGTTTGAGATTCTGATCTGGAGTGTGGCCTGGGAAGCCACAGTTTAAAACCGTGGTCAGTCATTATCTAGATCCCACAGAATAACCATATGGGATGGCATGGGAGTCACATAGGGTCTACTGCAAGAAATTGGACATCTGGGCTATATCTTAGCATTAAAAATACTACCCTGATGGTGTTGACTTAGAACCCAAAGAAGGCTACAAAAGACAAATGGCTACATTTCTCCCAACTTCTGAGCTTTTATTGTATTTCATGATTACCGAAAATCTTTCATTGAAATGTGACAGATGAAAGAACTAAATGTAAAGTTTTTTGTTTGATGCAGTTGAATACATTTTAATTTTGTTTCTCACATTGTTTTGGTACTACAGAAATGTTTGTCTCTTCTTAGATATGCTATGCTTCCTGTTATTAAATAATTAAAAAGATATCTTGGTCAATGATTCTCTGTTTGTCTTGACTCACAGGACTTTTTCTGGAAGGAAAACAATCTATTGAGTTGTACCACCTGGCAGGTACTTTACCTACAGTATATAATTTGATCCTCAAAAAAAATCACCTTCTGATGGTATTATAGTAATTTTATATGAAAAAACATGGAGATTCAGGAAAGTTATTTGCCCATAGCTATAAATATAGCAAGTAGAAGAGTAGAAGATTAGAAACCAGGCTCTCCTGACTCCAGAATGTAGGTTCTTTCCATGCTTCTGCTGTATCTAAGAGGAAGGATTGAGAAGAGTTTCCCACAGTTTCCTTTGCTCAGCTGACAGGTGACCGTATCAAAGCCCAGATTTCTGATTTCTAAGACGTGTGGTCCAGAGCCTGGACAGCACAAAGACAGAAGTTCTCTATAGCAGAACATTGTATGGACAAAGACACCTTCTGCAGCCACACTCCAGGCTAATCACCTCCCAATTCTCTCAAGCACAACCCTTCCTCTGTTGCCTCTGACAATGCTACTGAAGCTGTTCTCTCAGACATGGCAATATTTCAGTCTTTTTCTTCTTCCCACAGCTTTGTCCATAAGACTTTCTACTCTAGCTTCTTTTCAGTGGCCTTGCATATTGACTTTTCCAAGGTCTTACTTGGTAGGATTGTTTTGGACTAAGAGTTTGTGGGGAACTCAGGAATACATAATTATTGGGAGTTATGGCTGCTGGAATCTTGGTGGTCTTATGAAGAGAGAGGGTGTAACATATGTAACTTATTATGTCAGTCTGATGAATTAAGGAGCAAGGATACTTTTGTATCCATAAGTTATAACAAGGAGAAATCTAGAAATTATAGGCTTCTGCAAATCCTTACACAAATGTACAAATTTGTGCAGTGCTGTTTTGGAAAAGAAATCTTCCTACATTTTTTCTGATGTGAGAAGGGAAAGCACAATGCAGGTGGGTCTGACAGGCTTCAGTGGTCTGATTTAGAGCCCACAATAGTGTCAGCTTAGCCAATATAATTGATTAGATGAGACCTTGGATTAACTAAGCTGTCATAAAGGATAGGGGTGGGGGAATCCTTGAAAATATAACCTCATTTTAGGTAGCAAAACAATGCCCCATTAAGCAACTACAATTTTGTGTCTAATTGGCAGAATGATGGGAGAGGGAGGAATAAGAGAGGGAGGAGGGCTGTGATTTGTTTAGATGCCTAGAAAATTTGGAACAGGACAAACCAAACCACCTGTGAGCAGAATGCTCTACTTGTTCCTGCTGAACCTTTAAACAAGATGTTGGCAGGGATTCCAGGTAGAGAGTATATGTAAAAGGGCCATTTGGGGGATGGCTGGGCACTGGAGGGTAAGCTTTGTTGATGCTCCTGGCAGGAAGCTTCCTATGTCACTCCATGTTAATGCAGATGGTACACAGAGGGGTTCATGTTGACCATTTGCAGCCTTGTATGCAGGCAAAGCCATGTTTTCTCTGCAGGCATCATTCTCTGCATGGGATAAGGTGCCTTAAGCAAAGTCAGAAAGACATTGATTGTTCAAGCTATGGCTATGACAGGTTCATTGAATTTGGATAGGAAAGTGCACACCCCAATTTGTGAGACTTAAAAATAAACTAATCTCTATACAAAATTCTTATTTTCTTCTAGGCAGAATATGTTTTAGACCTGATGTGACTTTTTGGAGACCTAGAATCTGTTGGAACCAAAGGTAAAGGAAGTGCCCCAACCAAACTTCACTCAATTCTTGGCTTTTTTTTAGGTTGACTAGTCAGACAAATTCCAAGAATGTTAGGTCATGATGTAGGATTGCTAAGTATTGCAGCTGTTATTTATGGCTGAATTTTGTTAACCCCCCCAAATTAATATGTCGAAGCTTTAGAGCTTCAACCTCAGTACCTCAGGATGTGACTGTATTTGATGATAAGGCCTTGAAAGAGGTGATTAAGTTAAAATGAGGTCATTAGGGTGAGCTCCAATCCAATTTGACTGGTATCCTTCTAAGAAGAGGAAAATTGGACATAAGCAGAGAATTCGGGATGCTCATGCACAGAGAAAAGACCATGTGAGGACAAGCAAGATGGTGGCCATCTGCAAGCCAGGGAGAGAGCCATCAGTTCTTTTGGTATGACTCCACTGATCTTTGATAGCTTCTATGCTGACCAATAGACAAGATATTTTAGGTTCATCTTGCTTATTTCCTGTCCTACACCTGGACTCTTGGTGTTACTGGGTTGGTCACGGTTTTTAGGACTCAGGATATCAGGAAGAAAAGCCTGTATTATAAACCCAGGCATTATGAGAGCCATGCAGTTCACATTCTGAAGTTCTGAAAAGCCCTGTTCCTGGGGGTGAAGCCAGGATGGATTTTTTCTCCCTCTTTTGTTTGTTATTCCAGAGAAAATCCTGTTGATAAACAGTGACTCTAGTTAACTGAATAATCATCAATATTGCCAATTTGCCCCTTACGTTAATTTGTTTCAGAGAACTATTTAGTGATTTTATATGCTGCCTAATATAGTATAATGTATGTGTGATCTTTAGGAACAGTTGCATCATTACAGTTTAAATAATTTGGTCTAATTTTTTCTACCATATTACCATAGACATTTGGGATATAGTGGTTAAGATAATGTTTCCCATTCCAGGTCACGCTATGGTGGGGAAACAAATACCAACAACCATCACAATACCGAGTGGTACATGTTCATGTACGTGTGTGCAAAGTGCTGTCAAATCACGAAAGAATGAACACCTGACACTGCCTAGGGCTGGATCAGAGGAGGTTTGCCAAGAAAGTAACAGACACAATTTTTCTTAAAGGATTTTTGCAGAAGAAAACCCAGGAAAAGAATGCTATAAGCAGGTATGGCAGAGGCTGTTGTTACCTACTCAATAGCCATTTTCCTTCCTCTTTTTCCTCTACCCATGATAAAGTCTAGAAATACCAGATTATTTGCCACATTTTCTTGCAGCCATGACTGTCCATGTTAGGCAGTTCTGACCAATGAGATATAAGGTCAAGACTACTGGGTTGAGGTGAGGGCTGCTTTTTGAAAAGAGAAATAAAAAAATGCCCAAGAAGAGGTTTTTTCCTTTCCTCTTTCTTTGAATTCTGGTATATGTGAGTTTTAATGTGGAGACAGCCACCTTGTGACCATGAGACAATGAGCCTGAGGATGGGAATGCCAACCTCCTGAGGATGGCAGAAGGTGAGGAGGAAGTAAGTCCCCTACTACAGCCTTTTGTGAAAAATGAAATCTGCTTATCATTAACCCACTGCTGGTGAGAGATTCAGTTACTAATAATCAAAGGCAGCTTATCTGATTCAGTGTGTAAACTGTATTTTTGGTCAATAAATTTTACAAATAAGTTGTATGCTATGGGGACATCCAGATAGAGACCAAATGTGGGTTAAAATATATGGGAGTTCTTTCATCTCAGGGTTTTATTCTTGAAGAATATTTTTCTTCCTACTAAGTGAAGTAATTTCATGTCAAAATTATAGATATCTCAATCCTCCACTGTAGAAAATTTCATTTCCTGAAGCTGAAAACTTCCAACATGTCAAGATATTTCTGGGACAAACAGCTTTTGGATTTCTCAAGTAGAAAGGGATGAGAATGTTGTCATCCTATATTGTATCACTTTGAAGGGTGAAAAACTCTAAGGTTTAGAGTAGACTTGGCTCATTCAATGAATATCTCCAGCATTTTGCAACTCTTTCCCAGAAAAAGACTCTATTTCTTTGCTTTAGCCATGGTGTTGTTGAAGCACTAACAGGTAGTTTGTGCAGACTTAAATACTAGACCTCAGCTTTGCCTAGTCACTAAAGATGTGATTAGGTTGCAGGGGAAACTTAAAAATTTAAAAGACAAAACAAAACAAACCTGTAAAGGAAAGTTATGCAATACATAAAAGGAATACATATTGTTTCTTTAAGCATATTGAGCATTTAATATCTCCAAGACACTTTTCTAAGTTCTTTATTAAGCCACGTAGTTATCATAACAGTGTGAATCATTATTAGCCCCACTTTACAGAAGAGAATACTGAGGCATAGAAAGGTAGAGTAGTATGTCCTATTCACACCATTCAATTAGTGGAAGAGCTGGAATTTAAATCCATGCAGTCTAGCTCAAGAGGCCATGTTCTTAACCTCTGCATTCTTGCACTTCTTATTAACGACTTTGGTTTAAAAGAAGAGAGTAGAGAAGCTCAGAATTTAAATGCTGGTTTTCTGAAAGGACGTTGGGGAGACCTGCTTTTCTTGAACTCCCCAGGCCCTTTCAGTTTGTTATGGCATTATTTTATTAATAACTGTCTTAACAGTTGGGCCCTCTTTCTTGAGCTGTAGAGTGACACAGCTGTGTAGGAAGAGCAATTAGAGTTTAACAAAGACGTGCTAATTGTTTATAGATGCATCAGGAAGAAAAGATTTTAGAAGTTATTGTTATGGTTACTGAAGGCAGGATGAGAGTGGTGGCATATATTTATGATATTTTTATCTGGTATCCCTAAACTAAATGTACTGACAGTTACAATAGACTGCAAAATCTCTATATGATCTTGTTTTGCTACAATTCTCAGAAATTACTTTGCTGTATACACAGGATGATCAGCTTTTCACACCTCAGAGAGAACAATGAAAATTCGACTGTCCTTAAGGAAGATAGAAAAATAATATGTAGGTTTTCCTGAAAGAGAGAATTTTGCATGTATGTAGAGCAGTTTTTGTCTGTTAATGATTGGAATGAAATAGATTACGTGGAGGTCCAGTGATGGAACAGAATTTCAAAATGAAGTCAGTGGTTGCTTACTTACTTATGCAAAAGTATGTTGTCTTCTACCTGTATTTATCAGAGTTATTCTGTGTATGATATACTGAAAGAATGGAGAAAAGTTTGTAGTATTTAATTCCTAACATGGGTGGTTATTCTGAGATTGTTTTTAAGGTAGACTAATGGTCTTTTGGACCACTTCTAGCATTCACAATATCTTTGTGTGTTTTAAAAAAAGAGCACCCTCTACTGGGCGTGGTGGCTCACGCCTGTAATCACAGCAATTTGGGAGTCTGAGGCAGACGTTCGATCACCTGAGATCAGAAGTTCGATACCAGGCTGGCCAACATGGTGAAACCCTGTCTCTACTAAAAATGCAAAAAAAAAAAATTATCTGGACGTGGTGGCATGTGCCTAGAATCCCAGCTCACTTGGGATGCCGAGGCAGGAGAATCACTTGTACCTGGGAGGCAGAGGTTGCAGTGAGTCAAGATTGCACCATTGCACTTCCAGCCTGGGCAAGATGAGCAAAACTCCGTCTTGGAAAAAAAAAAAAAAGGGGGGGGCACCCTCTGTGCTCACAAATTATACAAAGGTTTCCAGTTGGGGGACTATTAGAAAAAAGGTGCCACATTTTATTAGCAATGACACAAGGTTTGCAACAGAGTAAGGGCTGGATTTCAAAGCACATCCATATCCCCTGGGCTGCATGCCTTTATTCCAGATGCAACTCACACAGCTATACATGATGGCCCTAGTAGTCCTACAAGTCAGTTCAATAAAATAATGAAAGGGCATGATTTTATTTACACTGGCAGAGTTACATGATTTTTACACTAAGAATAGGTTAGAGATACTACATATGTCTTCAAGAAAGAGGACATTTTTAGATATGGGTAAACGTTTATAAGGTTTTATTTTTTAAAGCACATTAATAACAGTAATTTCTCAGATTTGTTGTTAAGACTTGTCTCTTACAAATTAGATCTATGGCTTAAAAAAAGTACAAGTAATCATCAAGTAGCTCTTGTATACAAGGCATTGTCTACTTGTGGAAGGTTTGGGGAGGATGGGAATTAACATTTTGTATCATGGTTTTCCTTAATTGTTCTGATAGTTTAAGATGCCTTGGATCTAAATAAATTTTGTAAAATTCTTTAGTTTTTTATCTTCTCAACAGCCTTTGGATTAACAGTGGCTTAAGCTTAGAATTACTTGGGATATCATGAATTATTGTTAGTGAAAAGAGGGTATTGAAACTAGAATCTCTGCATTATAGCAAAAGCTTTTTGCTAAGAATTTTCTTGTTCCATGCAACTTTACTTGGACAAAGTTTTTTAACAACTAGGAATATATATATATATATATAAAATGCATGTTTATATATGCATTCATGTATGTTATTTATTAGTAAAATTTAAAAATATGTTCTGGGTGCAAGTCCTTTATCAGAATGTTTTCTGTAATAATTTATTTCCCATCTGTGGCTTATTTTGCATTGCATTTACATTGGCAATAAATAGCCTGTTACAAATGGAAGCTGAAGATACTTGCATAATGTTGGCATTCATTTAAAAATGTTTTATTTGGCCGAGTGTGGTGGCTCACGCCTGTAATCCCAGCACTTTTGGAGGCTGAGGCGGGTGGATCAAGAGGTGAAGAGATCGAGACCATCCTGGTCAACATGGTGAAACCCTGTCTCTACTAAAAATACAAAAATTAGCCAGGCGTGGTGGTGCATGCCTGTAGTCCCAGCTACTCAGGAGGCTGAGGCAGGAGAATTGCTTGAACCTGGGAGGCGGATGTTGCGGTGAATAGAGATTGCGCAACTGCACTCCAGCCTGGGTAACAAGAGCGAAACTCTGTCTTAAAAACGAACAAACAAGCAATGTATATCCATTCTTGACAGTCTTTTTGAAGAAGTCTTGTTTATTAACATATAATTTATGCATAGTAAAATTCACCCTTTGGTGAGTTTTGACAAACATATATAGCTGTATAATGTGTTCAAGATATGGAATATTTCCATCATTCTTAAAAGTTTATTTGTGGTCTTTTGCAGTCAATCTTTTCCTGCTTCCTTCAGGCACTGGCAACTGATTTCTGTCGCTGTAATTTTGCCTTTTCCAGAATGTCACATAAATGGAATCAAACAGTATTATTTTTTTATTCTGGCTCCTTTCACTTAGCATAATACTTTGAGAATCATTATATATCAGTAGTTCCTTCCTTTTTACTGTTAAGAAGTATTCTATTTTATGGATGTAACACAATTTATCCACTAGGCAGTTGGTAGATATTTGAACCCTTTCCAGGTTCTGGCAATCTCCTATAGAGATCTGTGTAATGGTGTTTGTGTGGATGTATGTTTTCACTGATCTTAGGTACATACCCAGGGTACATATTACCACTAGGCTACGTGGCAAATGTATGTTCAACTTCATACAAAATGAACAAACTGTTTTCTAAGGTGGCTGTGCCATTTTGTGTTTTTACCAGCAATGTATGAGGGTTCTATTTCTTACACATCCTTGCCAGTACTTGACATTGTTAGTTATATTTAAAATTAAATTTTAGGTATTGCAATAGGTGTAAAGTGCTATCTGAGTGTGATTTAATTTTTATTTCCCTAACGACTAATGATATTGAGCACTTCCCCCATGTACATAGTGCCTTTGGTATCTTTACTTTGGTGAAGTATCTGTTTTTGCCACCTCCCCATTTTTATTGGACTGTTTGATTTTTTAAATTGAATTGTAAGCATACTTTATGTTTCTGGGAACAAGAACAAGTTCTTTGTCAGATATGTGTTTTGCAAATGTTTTCTTCTACTTCATGACTCACTTTTGCCTTGCCTTTCAAAGAGCAGAAATTTTGAACTTTGATTCAATCTAATTTATGAATTTGAAAAAATGGATAGTGCATTTTGTGTGATATGTAAGAAATTTTTGCTTAATCTAAGTGATAAAATACTTTTTTGTGTTTTCTGGAAGTCTTATGATTTTAGGTTTTACATTTTGGTCTATGATCCATTTTTAGTTTACTATTTTATGTAGCATTAGGTAAGAGTCAAAGTTGG